GCTGGCTTACTCGTTTACTAGTTGACTAGCTAGCTATTTCTGAATTAAAAGTTTGTTTCGAATTTCTGTTTTTACAAAAATGACGAAAGCTTCAGATCTACATCACGTAAGTCTGGAATGGATTGATTACTACAAGCTAACATGAAATCGCGATCGGTAAAACTAGCATAGAATGGAATCAAAACTAGCATAGCATGGAATGAAAACTAGCTAAGCATGGAACGAACACGCAATAGATTTGTAAACGAGTACAAAAACACAAATGTACATAGAATGGAAAAAGACACTTATCAACTAGGGAATTAATACAAATGAACGTAGAATTAGATTCCAAACCAGAAGTAACTAATTCTATAACTTATCAACTAGGGAAATAATACAAATGTACATAGAATTAGATTCAAAACCAGAAGTAACTAATTCTATAAAAAATAGTTATGGCGGTGATCCCCTTCCATACGATTGAGACCCCACGTTTGGCGCCAATTGTTACGAACTTCCAATTCAAATATCTTTATTATTGTAAGCGATACAACTTAATGATATTACAAAACATGTATTATGTAAAATAAATTGTTATGCAAGATCAACCTCAAGTCATACACTTGTATATAATTCACTCATTTCAAAACAAGACGTCAGACCTTTTCAATTTACAATTTCAATAGTTTATACATGGATGGCTTTCAGCGGTAATAAGGAGTTATTTTTTTTTTGGCGGATGAAATCCGATTCTTTACATTTAAAAATAAAATAGAATTCATCCCCTACTTCAGTAGTACATATAAGACATGTGCGACTAGAACCAGCCTGCTTTGTATATCTCCTTGTTTTAATTGTTAAACAGTGCGCAGACAAACGAAAACTACAAATCACTTTCTGGTATTTCAATAAGATTGGCTTTGTTAAATAATTTTGAACGGGTGAAAGACACCCCTTAAAGTAACGAAGTTATAAAGAGTAAATATTTCCTAAGTAAGAATTAAACACACATTTATTTTTACTGAAAATGCGACAATGTGTATTCAAATAGCAATAAGGTTAAGAGTTATGGAGGGAAGGGCGGCAGACAACCAACACATCTATAGATTTCAAAACTTCACAAGTTAACAATCTCACCTGTCAGGTATATAGTGAATCTTCCAGTTTGATGGTTGTTTAGGTGCTTATTATCGTCTTCCACTGACTTAGGTCTGTGACCAGTCGCCGCCCGGGGTAAAGTGACCTTTATTCTCCCTCTTGGTGTTTCAAATCCCATGGCCGGACGTCTCCCTTGTGTCCGATAGGCGTGGTCCTCGGCTGTGGTCCATAGATTTATGTGTTTGCGTGGTCCCTGTCGTACTCTTGGTAAAACTGTGTCTATTATCCCGAGAGTGAGACAGTGCAGCATGTGGCGTTTTCAATATGTCATCTTAAAATGGGTGTCTTTACTTGTGGGAGACAGACTAGCACTAGTAAACCTAGTTTGTACTACAGTGGTACATTAAGGACACGGACAATGTAATTTTCTACATTAGTCATCTCGAGCAATCAACTTTAATATGACGTAGGACTTGCTTCATAATTATAGAACAATATTATTATGAAGCGATTCATACGAAAGTGTAAGTCAAGCGCACGAGAAAATAAGTCCTGTGCTCTAGTGCTCTAGAAGTCGAGAAAATAGTTCGAGCGCTCGAGATAAAATATTGTGCATGTCTTAAATGATCCACCGTAGTTAACACAGGATCGGCCGATAAACAAAAGACAGAGGTTTACTAAAATTAGTGAACAACATGTTTGGGACATATCACATTTAGGAATTGCTGACCTCCTCTGGAGTCAAATTCACTCATCGTACTGACAGTTGTTTTCGATGAAATCATTGGAAAAAAGGTATCCCCCAACCCCTACAACAACACCAGGCAAGGAAATGTGCTGACTAGTAAGACTTTCATCATGTGTTAAGGCCCGGCCACACGGTTTCTATTCGGAGCTACGAATTATCACGAGTGCTGGTCAGTTATAACTCGACCATCAGGGGTTTGTAATAAAAAAACCTAGTGAATTACGATACGAATATGGTCCTATACATGAGACGACCTGTATAACACGACACAACAACCGGTGATAAACTTCAGAGGCAAACGGCGATAAGAAGATTTATAAATTCTTGTCTGGAAGGCCTAACATAGCGGGTACTGTATTCAGTCGGGCCATGGGATGTGCAAATTACATGGTTTTACACTATGTGTGTGATGGTGTTATCAAACAAAACAAACCATATTAAAATTCTTTTGGTTTACTTAAGGTATGATATACGTATGGTACGTTGTGTAACTGAATAAACAAAGAAACATTAAAAGAATTATAAGAATTTAATAAGATAAATAAACGTTCGATACGGAATCCATTTAAAATTGCATAGTGAAATATCCTTAAAATTGTGCTTCCGGTCTATACCAGAGGTGTTACACACCGTGCTTTCGGTCTATACCAGAAGTGTTACACATTGTGCTTCCGGTCTATACCAGACGTGTTAAACATCGTGCTTTCGGTCTATACCAGAAGTGTTACACATCGTGCTTCCGGTCTATACCAGACGTGTTAAACATCGTGCTTCCGGTCTATACCAGAAGTGTTACACATCGTGCTTCCGGTCTATACCCGACATGTTAAACATCGTGCTTCCGGTCTATACCAGAAGTGTCCTGTTCAATAACGGTCCAAAACTTAAAACATTTCCGCTTGTCCTAGGATCGGTTTGAGGGCTAATGAATTTTGTACCAAGGAGGACTGTGCCGAGTCTTCTACGACGTTGACCACTCGCACCTGAAGGCGTGACGACTTTACGTTTTGGTTTCGACTTGCATCTGTTAATGCCTCTGTCGCATTCTAAATACTTACTTCTGCCACAGGAGGGACACGTGGGTGAAGGTCTGTATCGAGTCAGACTCTCAAGGAAGTCACTATAGCCTTGGATATTACGAAGATCACCAAACGGAATCATATTTTCATTGCGACCATGCGACCTCGGTCCCTTATTTGGGTAATCAGTTGACGGATTTATATTTTCATTTTTTCGCATGTTTACTCTGAACAGGTACCATATATAATCAACAAAGCTGTGATGAAGAAAAAAAACAGGTTCCTGGGGCGCTGTTTGGAGGGAAGAGAGCTGCCCATCCACCCACACGTGGGGACCGCCATGTATTCGTTCTAGGGATATACTCCTTCGGGTGGGCTCAACAATAGGGTCATGATTCCTATAACGTAATATTTCTTCTACCATAGATGCGGACATAAGACTGCCACCGCTTCCAATATTTCGCACAAGTGAAACATTGTCTGCCGTAATCCAACCTGCAAATGGCCCCGAGTCCACTATTCCAAAACCAGGGCCGAAAAACTCATCCGTCCACAGCATAGAGTCGGTAGGTTCGGCCATGTCATAGTCCAGTCGACTGTCCCAATAGGGGACCGGAACTCCAATGGCAGACTCCAGTCTGAAAAGAAAAGTAGCATGCATAACTATTTAAACAATTCGCAGTTCAAGGGGATATATAGGTCATACAGTGATTATTACATAAGTAAGAAGCTGCAGTGAAGGTCAAGGACGTCATCTTTAAATATGCATTACCTCTGCCAATATCTTATCTAACACGAAGAAGAACGCTCATTTCTGTCAAATTTACTCCTTTAACTGATATCTAAACTTACATGAGCAGGTACACTCTATGCCAACCTAGGAAGCTGGGACCTCCATGGGCTGCATCTAGGTTCGAATCACTTCTGTGGATGTCAGAAATAACATCGTATGGAATAAATGAACCCCCTCCTGGATTTCTCTGTAAAACAAAAGATTTTAAATCAAACTTAATTAACGGAACATCCGCTCCAAATATAAAGAAAATATGTCTGTTAACAATGGGCTAGGTTATGCTTCGAGATCCCGATGGTTATTTGATACGCACTATATTTTCATGGTGGGATTCGTCGATGTTGCAAAATAAGCATATCCTTCCTGAACAGGAAGTCTTACTCACCTTGAACCTTTTTCTTGGGTCTCCATGTAAATATTTCCATTGCTCACATTTTGCTTTAAATTAATCGAGTTTTGGTTTCGAATTACATTTTATAATATCTTTTATTTTTTGGTTTCTTTTATGATGGATAACTTACGATATACCTCTTTAGAATAACGAGGCTATTAAATGAATAACTTACGATATACCTCTTTAGAATAACGAGGCTATAAAATAGATAACTTATTAAATATATACATTATTAAATAAATTAACTTACTATTGGCCTGTTAAGGATAACGAGGTTATTAAATATAGTAATAGATACATAATTAAATAGGTAACTTACGATTGACTTCTTCAATGAAATAAATATCTTATTAAATAGATCAATAACGATTGGCCTCTTTACCATCATGAGGATATCTAAAAATAGATAACTTACGATTGACCTCTTTAGAATAACATGGCTATTAGATAGATAATCTACGACTGAACTCTGTAGGAGAAAGAGGCTATAATCAATAGATAAATAACGATTCACCCTCTTGAGGACAATGAGGCTTTTTAAAGAAGATATACTACGATTGGCCTGCAAATCAATTTGAGTGTTTTTAAAACGGATTTTCATTCTATTTACTATTGATAGCGTACATATCGTACGTCTTTTTATAACAATGATATTGCTCATAATGGATAACTTACGATTGGCCTTTTAAGAATATTAAGTCTCCTGGTAAATCGGTTCCATTCTGACCTGGACATCGTCCGGACTTCTTTTCGTTCCCAAGCGCAATTAGGCGTTATTCGTCCATACTTTATTTTGTTGTAAGATGTGGGCTTTCTTGCAACTTTCTTCCCGCGTTTTTTATTTTTGTTTTTTCTTCTGCATCTCCCTTTTCTGCATTTCTTCTTTACCTGTCTCGGATGCCCGTATTTGGATCCAGACCCGTCACACCTGCTCAAGGCTTTCTCTAGAAGTGTCTGGACATATACGATGGACGCGTTGTTGGGCGAGGAGCCTAGGGCGGATTGGTACAGATGCTGATGGTAACAATACACGCTGTCGTCATTTCCGGTTATTTCATATTCACCACGGCGACTACGGTACTGTTGACAGTTCCTGGTAGGCCTAGGGTTCGAATATTGTTCTCCGTTTACCGTGACGATGGTGAGAAGGAGACTTCCGGTTATACAGAAAAACACCAAACCCGTCGTTGTCTGTTTTATCTGAAATTTACATAGCAAATTAAGTTTTTTAAAGATAAATTTAGCTTTGTCTGCCATGTTCAAAACCAGAATACATTAATCGAAATGACAAAAGTAGCAACATCATGTTAAATCAAATATTTTCCTCTTCAGGAGTATCTACTTGTTATAGTAAGTAATTCGATATTTCCACATCGAATTCATAAGTGTTCGAGAGGTAAAACACACAAATTACAAGACATCTGGAATTTACAAAGACAAAGAACAGGGCGCACAATTCTAGTTGGAGAGAGTTTTCCTTATTATTTCATTTTTATTGTACAAATTACGGGTATCTTACAGTTATGATTAATTACACATATGTAAACACCTATATGCTATGGTCTCTCAAAGGTCAGTGGTCTATTACGATAATTTGGACCATACTGTCAGGAGCACGTGTATACGAGTCCGCAAAATTGAAATTGGATTAATTATGGTCTACAAATCAGATTAACAGCAGAAGAATGCTTGTAATTGACGAATTTTAATAAGTAATTTACTACAATGTAGATTTATAGAACGGTTATTTTTATAAAAAAAGTCAAAATAATCCAGCTGTTTCTTTAATACAGTTTGAATAATAAACAAATACAATGTAGAAGACAACTAAAACGGTTTACAAAGCAGCAGAAACATAACTAATAATTTCATATTACTCGTTAGAATTTTAAAGAAAAATAGCCATATGTATATATTGCAAACGTTAGATCGAGATCTGATAGAAATGATCCGGTGTGAATAGTTTACCTGCATGACTGTGTTGTGATTGCAGCATATCCCTCTTTGAAGAGGTTCGTGAAATCATCGGATTTTATAGGTGCTCCTCTGACCGCAAAGGGGAGTTTCACTCTTCCAGGAAACATTGCATTACCAAATTAATCATCTTAATTACTATTTTGGCGAGGGAAAACCCACATAACCTTCAGAAACAGCCTAGGCTTTGTCTGCCTAGTCGTTAGACGTCACCGACATTTCAGCGTAGATTACGCAAACTGTATTTCTTATCGTTAAATTGATATCTGTTTTTTCATAAAGACACTTCACCTTATAATATTTTGATTTATTACTGCAAGCAAATTTGATAACATCAGCAAATAAATAAGAAAAATATTTTAAAAAAATACTTACATAATCTTCACGAAATACCGGTCCTGCGGTGACGGATGTAATGCACACTCTCATTTATATCTACATTAGCACAAAATATGTATCATACCTCCTGAATTTACACATTTATCATTACCATACCAATTAAAAAGATCCCCGTAACACTGCCTAAAACTGTAACAACTGCATTGGAAACTGTTCTTTCCGGCATGACTAAAGCTTTGATAAAACCGTTCTGAAAAGGAATAAATAAGATATAAATCATCAGAAGTCTGTGAGTATAAAAACTCAGCGGGGCCAGACCGGGCCATTTATATCTAAACGGAAGTGAAGACGAGGTTACTGTATTTCGGCGAAACCACAGTGCAATAGGATCCTTAAAGCTGTTCTTTTGTTGAAAATATAAAAAAATAACCACAGCATTCTGGCATTTCCTTTAATTCATAGTTTGATGTCTAACTGTAGAAACGGAGGTACATCATTATCATTAACGATTTATTTCTCTTATTTCTCAGACATATTCATCATAAAATCGTGCTTCTGTCCCTATTGGGATATTTTGGACCTCCATCTATTTTTCTTCCTCTTTCCTTTTCAATTGTTTCGATAGTGCAAAGTTTTAACAAAGAATGTTCATTTATTTTTTATATCAGAAATAAATCCAATGCATTTTCAAAGGACATTGATTCTTAATTAAAATATTATGATTTGTAAATCAGTCTGTTATAAAATGATCATGACGTTTCATGCTGGGCAGTGGTAACAATTTCAATGAAGGCAGTCAGCTGAGGGTTATAAGGTCTGTAAAGCTCTTCTGTTTATTCTCTTATATGAACTGGACAACAAAATGAATGGCTTCTTACATCAAGATGGACAACTCAGAATGTTTTAATCGATCTAACAGAAATAAACAAGTTTATTTATATCAATTTCTTTTGAGACAAGTGTTGATAGTGAGGGAAAAGGTGAAAGAAGGGACAGGAGGGGAAATGTTCTGGTTGCAAAAGTTGTCCACTTATTCGTTTCAAACCTCTATTTTGCATCTTATAAAAAGTAGAAAGTTTTTTTCTCTCTTAGATTTTAAAGGTACCCATCCAGTTTCAAAGTAAAGTGCCTCACAAGAGGCGCCAGAGGAAAGACCAGATACAACTATGGCTGCTTCCTGCTGCACCCACCCTCTCCAAGGCATTTGACAATTCGACAGAACAACCATCCCATACACAAGAGGCAAACTCAAGGGTTGGTCATATGAAAGATGCATAGATAATATTTAATGTATCCTTACTAACTTAATATTTCAATTGTTTTAATGCAGAAACTTTAGAAGAAGCTGTTTTAATGATTTGATACACATGGTCGTTACTACTGAGAAACACTCCAATGTGACAACGAAGGTTCGTGAAAGGAAGCGGTTCGTTATTACAAGTAAGGTTAGGCGAAGTTTGAATAACAGTCCATTATGCAATACTTCATCAAACGCCTTGGAGATGTTGCAAAATACAACACACGAATATTCTTTTCTGTCAATGGCAGAAACAATATTAAGATAAAGCTCGATCAGCTGATGAACTGTCGAATGACCTGGCAGTAATCTTGATTGATCTTTATAAACAAATAAAATTGTCCCGTGCAAAATTGAAGACATATTTGGAAACACTCCTTTCCAATATTTTAGAAACACAACTTAACAAAGAAATATGTCGATAATTTACCGGAATCACGTTCAAGTCTCATTTTTTGTAATATTTAACAAATTATGTTCAATTTCAATAGCAACCACGCATCTGAAAAATGTTTCAAAAAGGCAAGGGAACTATAACTTAACGCTGTGTAAAACGAGATAGGGGTAAGGGAACTATAACTTAACGCTATGTAAAACGAGATAGAGGCAAGGGAACTATAACTTAACGCTATGTAAAACGAGATAGAGGCAAGGGAACTATAACTTAACGCTATGTAAAACGAGATAGAGGTAAGGGAACTATAACTTAACGCTATGTAAAACGAGATAGAGGTAAGGGAACTATAACTTAACGCTATGTAAAACGAGATAGAGGTAAGGGAACTATAACTTAACGCTATGTAAAACGAGATAGAGGTAAGGGAACTATAACTTAACGCTATGTAAAACGAGATAGAGGTAAGGGAACTATAACTTAACGCTATGTAAAACGAGATAGAGGTAAGGGAACTATAACTTAACGCTATGTAAAACGAGATAGAGGTAAGGGAACTATAACTTAACGCTATGTAAAACGAGATAGAGGTAAGGGAACTATAACTTAACGCTATGTAAAACGAGATAGAGGTAAGGGAACTATAACTTAACGCTATGTAAAACGAGATAGAGGTAAGGGAACTATAACTTAACGCTATGTAAAACGAGATAGAGGTAAGGGAACTATAACTTAACGCTATGTAAAACGAGATAGAGGTAAGGGAACTATAACTTAACGCTATGTAAAACGAGATAGAGGTAAGGGAACTATAACTTAACGCTATGTAAAACGAGATAGAGGTAAGGGAACTATAACTTAACGCTATGTAAAACGAGATAGAGGTAAGGGAACTATAACTTAACGCTATGTAAAACGAGATAGAGGTAAGGGAACTATAACTTAACGCTATGTAAAACGAGATAGAGGTAAGGGAACTATAACTTAACGCTATGTAAAACGAGATAGAGGTAAGGGAACTATAACTTAACGCTATGTAAAACGAGATAGAGGTAAGGGAACTATAACTTAACGCTATGTAAAACGAGATAGAGGTAAGGGAACTATAACTTAACGCTATGTAAAACGAGATAGAGGTAAGGGAACTATAACTTAACGCTATGTAAAACGAGATAGAGGTAAGGGAACTATAACTTAACGCTATGTAAAACGAGATAGAGGTAAGGGAACTATAACTTAACGCTATGTAAAACGAGATAGAGGTAAGGGAACTATAACTTAACGCTATGTAAAACGAGATAGAGGTAAGGGAACTATAACTTAACGCTATGTAAAACGAGATAGAGGTAAGGGAACTATAACTTAACGCTATGTAAAACGAGATAGAGGTAAGGGAACTATAACTTAACGCTATGTAAAACGAGATAGAGGTAAGGGAACTATAACTTAACGCTATGTAAAACGAGATAGAGGTAAGGGAACTATAACTTAACGCTATGTAAAACGAGATAGAGGTAAGGGAACTATAACTTAACGCTATGTAAAACGAGATAGAGGTAAGGGAACTATAACTTAACGCTATGTAAAACGAGATAGAGGTAAGGGAACTATAACTTAACGCTATGTAAAACGAGATAGAGGTAAGGGAACTATAACTTAACGCTATGTAAAACGAGATAGAGGTAAGGGAACTATAACTTAACGCTATGTAAAACGAGATAGAGGTAAGGGAACTATAACTTAACGCTATGTAAAACGAGATAGAGGTAAGGGAACTATAACTTAACGCTATGTAAAACGAGATAGAGGTAAGGGAACTATAACTTAACGCTATGTAAAACGAGATAGAGGTAAGGGAACTATAACTTAACGCTATGTAAAACGAGATAGAGGTAAGGGAACTATAACTTAACGCTATGTAAAACGAGATAGAGGTAAGGGAACTATAACTTAACGCTATGTAAAACGAGATAGAGGTAAGGGAACTATAACTTAACGCTATGTAAAACGAGATAGAGGTAAGGGAACTATAACTTAACGCTATGTAAAACGAGATAGAGGTAAGGGAACTATAACTTAACGCTATGTAAAACGAGATAGAGGTAAGGGAACTATAACTTAACGCTATGTAAAACGAGATAGAGGTAAGGGAACTATAACTTAACGCTATGTAAAACGAGATAGAGGTAAGGGAACTATAACTTAACGCTATGTAAAACGAGATAGAGGTAAGGGAACTATAACTTAACGCTATGTAAAACGAGATAGAGGTAAGGGAACTATAACTTAACGCTATGTAAAACGAGATAGAGGTAAGGGAACTATAACTTAACGCTATGTAAAACGAGATAGAGGTAAGGGAACTATAACTTAACGCTATGTAAAACGAGATAGAGGTAAGGGAACTATAACTTAACGCTATGTAAAACGAGATAGAGGTAAGGGAACTATAACTTAACGCTATGTAAAACGAGATAGAGGTAAGGGAACTATAACTTAACGCTATGTAAAACGAGATAGAGGTAAGGGAACTATAACTTAACGCTATGTAAAACGAGATAGAGGTAAGGGAACTATAACTTAACGCTATGTAAAACGAGATAGAGGTAAGGGAACTATAACTTAACGCTATGTAAAACGAGATAGAGGTAAGGGAACTATAACTTAACGCTATGTAAAACGAGATAGAGGTAAGGGAACTATAACTTAACGCTATGTAAAACGAGATAGAGGTAAGGGAACTATAACTTAACGCTATGTAAAACGAGATAGAGGTAAGGGAACTATAACTTAACGCTATGTAAAACGAGATAGAGGTAAGGGAACTATAACTTAACGCTATGTAAAACGAGATAGAGGTAAGGGAACTATAACTTAACGCTATGTAAAACGAGATAGAGGTAAGGGAACTATAACTTAACGCTATGTAAAACGAGATAGAGGTAAGGGAACTATAACTTAACGCTATGTAAAACGAGATAGAGGTAAGGGAACTATAACTTAACGCTATGTAAAACGAGATAGAGGTAAGGGAACTATAACTTAACGCTATGTAAAACGAGATA